TGTATTCTACTTATTAGAAAACCCTAAAACTATTAAAATTACAATATTGATTCAGAGATTATTGGTTCAATGCCTAGCTGAAATAAGGCACTTTCTTCCAGTGAGCAGCACCTTTCAGATACAAGAGGTGATGGATCAGGTTCTGGTTAAAAACAAAAAGGGGCTGAATGGGGTCCCAGAAGACAACAGGAACATTTCAACAGCAGGGGAAGACACAGGAGGTAAAACCCGGAGATGAAATTCTACACAGAAGTGGTCACTCTGTCAATGGCATTATTGACCTCGTTTTTGTTTGAATCCAGTCCTTTAGCAGCATTCATATCATTCCGTAAATTCTCCACTGTCTTTTTCATGCTCTTTAATTCTCCAGGGTGTGGAGTGGCTCGCCTTAGAAGTGTTCTCTAAAAACAAACAGTGGAATAAGTAGTTTTGTTTTTGTCTTTATTTTTGGAAAAACACCATATACTTGCAAGGCTTAAGCATTTACAAACCAAGTACTTTTTTTTTTTTGTAAGAACCATGTTTGATCTGAAATATTATTTTCATAGGTGCTTGCTGATAAAGTCAGTAAAAGCCTTTTTTTTTTTTTTTTTTAAAGAGGGAGCAGAGTTTTCCTGATGTGGCCCTTTTAATCTAAAAGCCACAACAACTGAAGTAAAAATCCCATTCTAAGTTGTAATGTGGTGGTTCTTTCATAAATACAAGTGGGATTTTTAAAAACCCACAAGCAATTTGGGAGCCTATTCCATTAACATAACAAAAAATTAGATGCTTTTGAAAAATCCTGCGACTTCTCTAGAGCATCACTATATATTGCCCATTAAAATGTTTTGGCATATGTACAAGGGATGTTCAATGTTTTAACACAATGCTTCAGAAGTGAAATCAATAAATACAAAAAAGTTAAGAATATAGTTAAATAGCTTTTTATTTACATGTTTACATGCAAACCTTAAAACGGAGCTTTGGTCTGAAAAGGGACTGGAAATATGGCACCCTTCCACAAAGACAGATTTGTTATGTTTGTTTTATGTACACAGGAATCACATCTCCTGCATTTTGCCTTTACTGGCAAAAATAAAGCTTATTACTTACTCCAATCAATTTGCATAGACAACACAGGTTAAGGGAGAAAGTAAACTTGATATTCTCCCTCTGCATTACCAAAAATTGTCTACCAAGTTATATCAGCAACTCTAGTGGGAGCTAACTTGAGGATATCTGAGTGCCACAGGTATCAATGGGCCAAGTCAGGTCTACTAAACCATTTTACTGGTTCCAAGAAGGAAAAACCCTGATGTCAGATCTGAAGTTCTGCTTGCAAGGCTAATGGTAAGAAAACCCTTTTTTTTTTCAGTTGTAACTGGGATAGTTTAGTCAGTGATGATGATCCTGCCCTAAACAGGGGGATGACCTTGTAAGGCTCCTTCCAGGCCTACTTTCCTGTGATCCTTTCCTAACCTGAGCATACTGGCTATACAAGTGATTACTAAATTAAAACATACCTGTTTTTGAATTTTTTAAAATCACTTTTCAGAATGAAGCCACCCTTCTATTATGTGACATCTAAGACCAGGATGATCTTAGGCTACCTAGTTAAGATCTGCAACTGCCCCAGGTCTGGAGATTTTAGATCTAGGTTTCAGTGCAAGTTCACTTCCAGTCAAAGGCTATATTTTCCACATGCCTCTGAAAATGTGCAGAATAAATACAACCTGCAAATTTGATCAGGGCATTTTCAGAAGCCTACTGAAAATTTGGTTTTAAAGCCTCAATCTCTGCAAGTAAGCTCTGTGAGTGAAAAAAAGGCAAGGATGCCCTCGTGTTTTGATCTCAAGAGAACGTGGAATGATCATTTAATTGAGGTCTCATAAGTACAGTGACAGATGCTCCCAACATACTTTTTTCATTTGAGTGGGAAATGCACAAATGTGCCACATTCCACCTGGGCATGGATGGTCTCTGTTGGTATCAATGCAAATGGTCATGAAATGGAAGGACAGGCAATAAGAGTAGGGAGAAAAGACAAATGATATGATATGGTGGAAAAACTCAGTGGGGAACCACATCAGGGTATGATAATCCTTAACTGCCATCTAACAAATATGAAGGCAGGGTTTGTACCTTCCATAAAAGAAAAGGAAAACTTTAATTTTAACTTTCTTTTGGAAAAATGGAAGAAATCCTAAAGGGGGTAGGAGGGAGTGAATTGAGATGACTTATTTTCACAGCAAGATTGCCTTGTTTCAGCAGAAGTGAAAAGTATATTTCAAGAAGGGGGAGGAGAGGTTGAAAGAGCTGCGGGGTAAAAGATTTTAAAGACAAAGGTTTAGCAGTTCTGTTACAAACGCACATGTAAAAGGTCCCCTGCTACTGCTGAAATGTTTCAGAAAATATATAGCACTCGGACACCTTTTACACTGTGGTCATTATGTGTGTGTATTAGTCTTTGGGGAACATACCATTTCATTATCCTCTTCATCTTTTTCATCTTCTAAAAAGCGGATTGCACTGACTCTGTTTACTGCACGCTCATTCCAGGTTTCATCTGATACTTCATTGACTAAGCTCTCCAAAGCACCACATCGTGGCAGGTTATCTGTTACAACAGAAATAAAAAGCTGAAGTTCATAAAAGAGTAAGTATATGTCCTAATATTCACACTGACTTGCAAAATTGCACTGACTGTTCACTATACATACATTTTTGGGGGGGTTTTTTCCTGTTGTTCATAGTTTAATTTTTCCTCTACCAAACATCTACAGTAAAGGGCAAAGGCAAATGTTTTGTACTCTGGCTGATTAGTTTTGCCATGACCATTTTGAAAGCTTGAGAGCCTAAATGTATAAAATCTGTGTAAAAGACAGTTTTTATTTACGTCAAGAATGCCATCATTCTTGCCATCTTATTGCCAAATCATGAATGTCTCTCACAGCCGCACATCCAATACCCTTCTTTTGCCAACCTATATTCTACTGCACGTGCACGTGCGCGCGCACACACACTCACACACACACACACACACACACACAGAGGAAAAAAAGGAAAAAGAAAATCTATCAGATTTGCTTAGAAATGATGACCTAGAAAAACTGGGATCTTTGTAGTTGCCTTTGGATCTCAGATGTTCAGATTTTTTTTTTCAATGTAGCTGTGGGACCTAGGGGGTTTTTTTCTTTTCTTTTTTTATTTTTAACATAAGAAGATTTTTTATTTAATCCACATCCTTTTTAGACTTATGATTTAAGACATTCAGTATCAAGGGACTAGAAATGCTGAGAGTCCTGGCAACATTAAATTTTCTGTTTGGCTCCAATCACTGTTGTATAAGAGGATGAGAGTCTTCAGCATAGCAAAGACCACTCACGCATATTATCCAGTAACTCTTTAATGCAAAGTCTGCAGAAACAGGGACTGGAAAATGGGACTCCTGCAGTCCAGAGACTGCCCATTTTATGGGCAACAGCCATGCTCCCTCTGGCTTTACCCCACCTTTTGCTATTTTATTCGTTCTTACAGAGCAGTCAAGCTTCAGCCAGAAGGATGGAGAGTGCCCCAGTCTAGCCTAGCCTCTAGCCTGGTTGTTAGGGCACTCTTCTAGTAGGTGAAACACAGGGACTGAACCATCTTCTGGCTGAAATGAAGCTAAAACCCACATCTTCCACTTCCTGCGTGTGCTTTAACAATTATATTCTTACATAAAAAAGGTGAGCACAGTGCCTTATCACCAGGGATCTGGGTTTTCCATTTGCCACAAAAAAGTGGGAAAACCCAGATTTTCTCCTTTCATAGAATCATAGAATCAATGAGTTGGAAGGGACCTAGACAGATCATCGAGTCCGACCCCCTGCCATGGGCAGGAAGGAGCACTGAGGATGGGAGGGGTCATAAGACCCCAGCCAGGTGCCTATCCAGTCTCCTCTTGAAGATTTCTAGGGAAGGTGAGAGCACCACCTCTCTGGGAAGCCTGTTCCAGGCTCTGGCCACCCTTACAGTGAAGTAGTTCTTCCTAATATCTAACCTAAACCTATCCTCCCTCAGCTTGTGGCCATTGTTCCTGGTGACTCCAAGGGGGGCCCTGGTGAACAGACTTTC